TGGTGGTGGTGGTGGTGGTGAGTATCTCCCTTGCAGGGCAGCCCGAACCGCAGGCTCCCAAATTTCTCGCATCGGGACCGTCGGACGCACTGTCACTCTGTCTGCCTCGAATGAGATTCGGCCAGGAGCCCTCCTTGGAGAGTGCACGGTCGGCCTCAATCACGAAGGTGCAATCTGCACAAAGGCTGCACGCAAAAAAGGACCAGAGAACACACAGCTCTCCAGCGCGATTTCCCCGACCTCGTGTGGCCAGAGCAACCTTCGCAAAGCCTTCGGTGGCGCCGGAGCGCCGACGGGAAACCGCTCCCAGGCGGCCTGGCAAGTCGGCATCGAGGACTTTCGGATGCTCTCTGAGTCTCTCTGCGCTCTCTTGCTACCATTGCAGGAAAATGGCCTTCGTGACGGAGACATAGAAGCGAGGGCCACTGTTGGACCAAGGCGCCTGCACAAAAGGGCTTTTGTTCGATATCCGACACAGCGGCAGCAGTGCAGCGGTTCCAAGCAAGCAGATGCTAACTGCTAACCCTTTAGGGCCAACTTGAGGGCTTGGCTCGGTTTGTTTGAACCGATGAACGACAAGTTCCTCTCTGGACTGCCGTGGAACAATCATATCACTTACATCCCGACGCAAGCTGAACTCGAGAGAATCCGGTGACCTCTTCTTCTTCTGACGGTGGTGGACAGTAGACAGCAACACCTCCACCAGCAATCAGCAAATCGACAATAAACGCGGACTTCATGCCCTCCTGACTCCGCTAGTCCGTGCAGTTCCCGCTACCCGCCTTTGGCCCACAAGCACCGTGTTACTTCCTCTGCGGCTTCGCCACCAGGGCGATCGCCGCGGTGCCTGAATCGACCCAGCAGCGGCTGCTGGCACGAACACAGGGCGTCAACGGGGCCAGAGACCTTCAGCAACTCTCGGCTCACAGTGCGTCCAAGGTGCCAAGTGTCTCGCAGCTTCTCCAGCTGACGCTCAACCTCCTACAAGAACTGAGGGGATTTGGCAAGCCGGATGCCCACTGTAGCCGGTGCGACGCTGGCAAAAAAAAGCTTCCTCGTGGTGGAGGTCATACATTTCCTCAACGAAGGATATCAACTCCCAAACCTTTGCACAAGAGACGACGTGGTTTCGCACTTGTGTCTACTCAGGCTGATTGCTGGCAAGGAGCCCAAGGCAGGGGCGAGAACTCAAGGAAGCCCTGTGCGGGCAGCTTCGAGCTGGCTGCCTTACCCCTCAAGATCCAATCACCAGCCTTGCCAACCAGCTGGCCGAGCTCACCCGCCAGCTTGAAGCCCACATCTCTTTGCCCTTCCTTGCGAAGCAGGTCTGACTCAGAATCGAGCCATGTCTTGAGTCTTGACGTCAAGTCGAAACTCTGTGGTGAGCAGCTCGGTCTCCACAACACAAGGCTCTGTCGCACTACTGGCCAGGAGTCGACCTCTTGACTTTGGCCACATGAGTTGGCCTGCAAAGCCACACACACTGAAGAGCGTGTCATGTTACATCATGTTACTCTGTATTCTGCTGTCCCCGGCCTTCTGCCGCTTTGTCCGGCTTGTTACGCCATTCTCCGCGCAAGCCTTGGAAGCGCATCTACAAGCGGATCCTGCGTCACACCGACTCTCTCCATAAAGCCACGAAGCATGTTTGCCTGCTGCAGTCATCTGCGCGGCACGGGCTCAGAGCTGAAGTGGCGGCGAAGCAAGGGATGTCTCTCTCCGTCTCATTCAGAGCAAGGCTATGCCACTAGTAGTCTTTCTATCACTCAGCTACTGTTGTCTTGTAAATCCTGTCTTGGGTCTGTACACGTCCAGAGTCGAAAGGCTGCAGGGGTACCTCGCCGCACGCCGATGTCGTGCCGTAGCTGCTCTGTGCGGCGTTGCCTCGGCAAAAAGCGCAAGTCATGTAAATCACACAAGCTTCAAGTTGAAGCCGCAAAGATGCATACGAGCAGTTTGGAACTGGAGCGTTTTCGGTCACGGGGTATGAAAAACGCTTGGATCAGCCGGCAGGCGGAGGTCAAAGAAGAAGTGCATGGAAGGAAAAACCAGGGGCAGCACTTCATGTGGATGTGCTGACGGCACGAAAAAAGTATACTGAGCTCCGTATAATGAGAGTGCTCTATGGTACTTCCATGTAGGGCTCCCGCCACGTGTACATGTTTCTATGAGCACCGGCAAAGCCATGCTCATGCTGCGGATGCAAGCATTCTAGCAAGACGACTCAAGCACCACCGATTCAAATACGGCGGTTCACAACTGAGGCGCTGAGGGTGCTCACTTCTATTTGGCGGGCTTTGCAATTGTCCACTGCATCTTCGAGAACAGCACATGCTGAATAAACAGACAAGACAACGATTCGCCCAAAGTCCAACAGCTGAGCTTCGATCGCGTGCACCCGGCGCAGGAAGCATACCAAGTCAAGATACTGCCAAGGAGCATTCGCTCGAGGCTCTCGGCGATCCCTGCCCTTGCACCGCTGCTGGCAAGCCTCGAGGCTGGCTACGTGCACAATTCGTGTAGTCAGCGTAGTTTTCACATCGTCATCCGTTTGCCAAGAGTAGATTGGCCTGGCTGAGATTTTGTTCCACAAGGCTGCTCAAAGATCAACTTGGGAAACACGAACAGCGGTCAGCGTGCTACGAATGCATGCCAGCAAGCTCAGCCAACTGCTGCTTCAGCCACCGATTCTCGCTCTCCGCTAGGTCCAGCGCGCGTTGGTGACCTCGCTTCTGACCGTTTAAGTCTCAGCCGTCCAACCACGTCATAGCTTTTCGGCTCCCCACGCTCCATCTCGATCTTCTTACGCTCCCGAGTAGCAGCCAGGATCTGGCAATCACAACCAGCTGTCGGCAGCACGTGACTTATTGCAAATCTGCGGTCCGCACTCCCTGTGCGATGCCTCGCACACATTCCCTTGCCTTAACAAGCATAACTGCTTGGTAACCGCAGCATGGTCAAGTTGCACATTACGCTGATAGTTTCACCGCATACCTACAAGTACAGCCAGCGCACAGCAGACACTCCGGCTGCGCATGTTGTGGCTGCTCGTGAGAGCTATTTGCTTCCTGACTGGCCTACTGTCGGTTTCGTGGTATCTCCCAAGATTCCTGCCAGACACACTCACATGTGACGTGCCTCCTCGTTCTGGCGCTGGCTTACGCGCAAGTCAGCATCCTTTCGCGGGCTGCCAAGCAGTGAAGGCTAAACAAATGGGACTTTCAGCTTGTTGGGGGCCCTTACAATCATGGTTCTGTTTTAAATAGAGTCCAACAGAGTCCATGTTAAGATCCCCGATTTTCTGAAACTTCCACAGCCGCGGCTGCAAAAGGTTTCCGAGCCTGGTAGGAAGCCGCGCTCACGTCGCCGAGCATCAACTGCACTTCACACTGGCGGCTCCTATAAGGTCCTATGCGTCACTATACGAGTTCTGTTTCACAGGCACCAAGCAAACTCGCAGATCTTGGGTATATTTTCGGTGATTTACTGGGTTGCCAGCCCCGAAACCCGACCACAGACGGCACGATACTTTCCAAAAACAGTCCGACATGCATGACGGCCTGAAAACGATGCATCTAGCCGAACACAAGCACAAGCAATGTCCCGACCCTCCCCTGGACGCAGCTGCCCTGCCCACCTGTCCCATGACCACCTGGGAAAGGTCACCTTTTGCAGCTGAGTCTGATGCGCCTCACATAAATTCTCTGCCAGCACTCGCCAACATGACTCTCACGCGGGTCTAGACCCGTCTTTTCAGACTGCCGGGTTAGAATGCTACGGATCCAGGTGCGGCTACGGCACGCCGATGGTTGCTCGCTTGCGCTCGAAGCATCCTTGGTCAAACTTGCACGGACTGTTGCAAGAAGGCCTTGCACGCGACTGTTGATTGGCTCTAAGCCATCCATGCACTCCACTAACTTTTGCAAGTACAACGAGACTTCCTTGTTTTGAGGCATCTGTCAGGGACTCTTCCAGAAGAAACCGGACACCTGGGTGTGTGGTTACAAGAAGATCGCGAGACCAACCTCTGAAAAAAGCTAGAACTCGTCGCAGTGAGAAGGACTGTCACAAAAAACAGCAGGACGGTACTTGCAGAATGGCATGAGTTCTAGCAATAGGTAATGAAGCAACCCTGCTGAGATATACATGTAAATATACGCATCGCAAACATAGATATGAGGCCTAGACATACACATAGCCGTAGACACATGCATACGCCTTTACCAGTACCTATACCTATACCTATACCTATTCCCAATGCCTATGCCTATACCTATGCCTGTGCCTATACCGCTGCCTACACCTAAACCTTTACTATATACCTATACCTATACCTATATACCTATACCTATACTATGTACCTATACCTATATACCCATACCTATATACCTATACCTGTATTATCTAACTATACCTATACCTATACATATACATATGCATATACATGTCGGTATACGGATACATCCACATATGCCTATACTTATATACGGACATATATATATATATATGTATATGTATACATACACACACACACATATATATATATGTTCACATATGTGTACATATATGTAATATACTATATGTATAATATATACATATATGCACATACACAGACACACGCAGAGAGAGAGAGAGAGGGACACACACGCGCGCGTGCACGCTCGCTCGCGCCTCAAATACACATACACATCCATAGACATGAACACACACACACACAAACAAACACACGGACCCTGACACAAACACATGGCCATGCACATTTCCATGGCCATGCGATACAGTACGTTGCATGCATGCATACCCACGAACCGAGTGGCAACATGATGCAACATGTCTTGTTTTAATGTTCGGATCAAACAGGTTTCAGTACATTATGTGACCGGATCTCGCCTTTTGCGCTCGAAGGAAAGCTCAGTCTCCAAAGCTTCTCGCTCCTGACATGGAGCCGAGTCTCTTCGTCGAAGCAAATTCTGCTGACTCGGCTCCTTCTGCCTTTGCGCTGAAAGATGTTCCAGCTCCATCTGCATGGTGCTGCTTGCCTAGAGCGTCAGAGTACTCATAGTGTACAGGAAGTAGCGGCTTTCGAGGTGTCAAAGATCATCGCAATTATGCCGGCTTGAAGCGTGCAGAAACGACGAGCCTGCAGTGTCTGGGAGCGCCTTTCCTCCACCTCCTTCTGAGCTGAAGAAAATGCAGCGGCCTGCATGAACATGCAGACGAAGTGACCCGTACTAGCCCAAGACCCTCTCCCCTCAGACGCCTCGACAGGTCGTGTTCAAAAAATCTATACAACTGGTAGTGGTGGACTTTCATCTTTCGGGTGAAGTAATTCCTCCCACGCACTGCGCTTCCTTACCGTAGCAGATTTACCGAAACTTTAATCCCCCGGCATGCATGCTGATGTGCTACTTTCCGTAATCATATGTGAGAGGACAATGATGATAATGCGACGGAACATGGTGATTGTACTGGTAGTACTAAAGACAACAAAGCAACAATTAAACAAAAAGATAGTAATCATGACCGCAAGAGCGACAATGATAACGACAGTAATGATGACAACAATGATGACTGATGCGTCGTCTTTTCAATCCTCTTCTGCTGTCTCTTTACATGCGCTTACACTTCGGATTTCTCCCACAGCTGACCAAATCTGAAGGAGCTTTCCAGAGGCAAACATGATGAAAACGGCCTGTCGTTCCAAGGCCTTTTGCACTGGAGCGCAAAGTCCTTTGACCTGTCTTTGCATATGCGGATTATATATATATATGTATGTATGTATAACATAGGCATGTGCGATTCGGCATAAGCGGGTATGTAGGGTGCTCTGTAGCCTTTAAATCAGTACATGCATACATATGTGTATGTATATTGCATGTGAATATCTTTTTGTGTGTATATATATATATGTAATACATATATATATATATATACATACTCGTATACACATATATATATATATGCCATATATATATATACCGATACACACTGACATTCAAAATATGAAAGTATGTAGGAATCAGTGAAACGGACCGTTTTGACAAAGCTTGCCTGCACAGCGGAAGGGCATGGATTCTGAGGAAGCCAGATTTGTGCTTACCAAACGATCGAGTGCGCAGAAGAACCCAGCGAACGCAGAAAAACTGCAGCGAGAGGGCATCCCAGGTCCAAGACCACGAACGGCTCTCTCCCAGAAAGGGGTCTCTAAAGCTGTGCTGGTGTCGCCCCAGCCGTCGCAAGGAGGTGCACGACCCTCTGGCTCGAAGTTCATGTTGATATACTGCTTATCGTACGTCTGAACCCTTAACGGCGCCTTCTAACTGGGAACGGCAGGAGAAACCGCAAAGGAAACGGCTTCCAAGTCTCGGACCTCGTCAATCTGTGACTCCAGCAGCTGTGCCTTGCGCCGTGTCTCCACCACGCCTTGCGAGACCTGGGGCCGCTAACTCACAAAAACCAGAATGGGAGTCGAAGGATTATTTTTATTATTCTTGTTATTATAATTATTATGATTGTTATGATTACTATTACTATTATTATTGTTATTAGTAGTAGTAGTAGTAGTAGTAGTAGTAGTAGTAGTAGTAGTATTGTTATTATTATTTATATTGTTGTTATTGTTGTTACTATTATTATTAATATCGTTGTTATTGATGTTATTAAGTTCGTTTAGTTAGCTGGTTAGGTAGTTAGTTAGTTAGTTAGTTAGTTAGTTAGTCAGCCAGTCAGTTAGTTAGTTAGTTAGTTCGTTGGTTGGTTGGTTGGTTGGTTGGTTGGTTAGTTAGTTCGTTGGTTGGTTGGTTGGTTGGTTAGTTAGTTAGTTAGTTAGTTAGTTGGTTGGTTAGTTAGCTAGTTAGTTATTATTTAATTATATGTGTGTGTATATATATATATATAATATGGGAGTGGGTCTCTACGAAGCGTGTGTCGCGGTCTGGAACTTTCCGTCTCTGGATGGCCTCTGTCTGTGATGCTTCGGCTGCAGCCTGAACGTCCTGCATCTTGGCCTCCAGCAGATCCTGCTGGACTGCACACGAGAGCATCGTCATCGAACGTTAGGACATACTCTGGGACAGGGTCGGTGAACCAGAAACTTCTCCGAAGCTTTATAGCTAGAGTTAGAGAGTGGAACCTGATCCAGGCGGAAGTAACCCTCGCCGACTCCTTGATGCCCTAATGTCTTAAGAAGCGCTTCCGCGGGCACCAGTCCTTCTTCCTTGTAGTTTCCTTAACTTGATCCTGAAAAGGTCTCGGCAACAGCATGCCAGATGAACACCTCCTCTTCCCAGCGCTTCGACAAGAACTGACCCGGCCTTGAGGCTCCTCGCCTCCTGGGCCCAAGAGTTTCGGGCCTCCTTCATGGCATCCCGGGCTTCCGACTCGAGGCTTTGCATCAGCTCATGCTGTGCCTTCCACATTGACCGTTCCTGACGTGTCTCAAGGGAGCTTGGGAGCCATCTCGCGGTTTTCTTCGACTCTCCAGACTGCCACAAACCGGAACAGACTGCAAGACCCGCAAAACGTAGCTGCAAAGGTCAGAACCGAGGCTCTCGTTCCAGGGAAGCTTTGTCCCTTTGCAAACTTGCCTGGCAAAAAAAGGGAAGATACAAATCTCAAGTAGATCAAGTAGATCATCCGCGAGCCGCTCACTTTCTCCCAGATATGCACCGGGACTACAAGTACTACTGGCCGCAATCTCGGATCAAGCCCCAGGGACCAAGGGGCCCAATCTCACTAGGGGAAGACTGGGAGGATGGCCAGGACGTAGCTCCATGGCCACGTGCACACCGCAATCAGTCACTGAGCGCCGGTCAACATTATGGATCCAAAAGTAGTTCCCAGATAAAAGGTATTGTGCTTTTGGGTTTCCTCATGTTTCCCCCTGTCGGCTTGTAAAACGGACGTTGAGCGCATACTTACACGTACACTCATGTTCAATTCAATGTGGTACTGGTGGCACTCTCGGAAACATACCAGTACAGAGCTGTTCAATTGCCGCACACTGATATGTGCCACCCGTGCCGCAACGTGAATGGGCAGGCCTCACGAAAAGCCTCCGGAACGATTGTGTTGCTATCCCGAGGGTAACGTTTGCGGCACCGTTTTGAACCTTTAGCAACTTGCATGAAAAAGGACGGCAAAAGCAGAAGCACTGGCAGTGGAAGTAGCAGTAGCAGTCGTCGTCGTCATCGTCGTCGTCGTTGTCATCGTGGTCGTGGTCCTGGTCGGGGTCGTCCGGGTCGTCGGGTTCGCGGTGGTCCTCGTGGTCGTCGTGGTCGTCACGGTCAACCTGGTCGTCGTGGTGGTGGTCGTCGTCGTCGTCGTGGTCGTGGTCGTCGTGGTCGTGATCGTCACCATGGTCGTGATTGTCGCCATGGTCGTCGCCGTCGTTGTCGTTGTCGTGGTCGTCGTCGTCGTGGATGGACGTCGTCGTGGTCGTCGTGGTCGCCGTCGTCGTAGTAGCGGTAGTACGGGTAGTAGTAGGAGTAGGAGTAGGAGTAAGAGCAGTAGTAGTAGTAGTAGTAGTAGTACTAGTACTAGTACTAGTAGTAGTAGTAGTAGTAGCAGCAGGAGTAGTAGTAGTAGGAGGAGGAGGAGGAGCAGCAGCAGCAGCAGCACGGTAGCAGGAGCGGGAGCGGGAGCAGGAGCACACTGTGCTTAGGTCTTGAAGACGGGGTATTGGTTCTGTTCGCATCCCCATGCCGCTATACAAGGCTAACGAGGATAACCAAAACTACGGAGATGAACAGAGACTTGCGGTATTTTACGGGAATGCGCCTCTTGCAAGTGAAGTTGAGAGCAGCGGGCTCGGTTTTCGGCCAGCTCCTGCAACGGCAAACTGACACCTCCATGTCTGCTCAGCCAAAGCTGGCAGCAGTCGCAAGTGCAGAGATGTGAGCTACACGGTGGCAACGACTAAGTTAACAATTTCGAAGGTGAGCACGTTGACCGAGTCAACAGTCCTTCTCCAATGTGTCCAGCACATCCTCCAATTCGCCAAACTCTGCCTGACAAGCTTAGAGGCTCCTACTAGTGCAAGTGCTGGTGCAGTGTCGTTTATGTAGTGCGGGAAATGGAATCTTTCAAGAAAACGGAAACTTCCGATTCCTCAATACACTTCAGAGATCAGGCACCTGAGATCAGGCCCTTCCAGAATGTTGACACGCAACCTCGTAATAAGCGCATCATGGCCTATCTCAGACGGGCACCCTTCTATCAAGACCAGCGTCTCTACGTTCCCAGACGACCGACAAGAATGCAATCCCACCCCCTACCTGATTGACATGAGATTGACAAAGACTTCAACAGGTTGCAACTCCTCGGCAATGTAGCTGACAAGCTCAAAATGTCGCGGCAGGCACTCGTTCACTGCCGCTCGATAAAGCACAAAGCACTCGCAGAGCAACAGAAGAGCGGGCAGCAGCACTCAGTCAGTGATGCACGGCAAAGAGTTATGACACGCGGCAGAACAGGTCGAAGAGCAGACGGTACTGGCACCAGAGCACTTCTTGTGGAAAACTCCGTGCCTCCGCAGCTTCCGCTGCAGCGTGCAAAGCGGCCCCAGCAGCAGAGTCCACCTCCCTGATTGCGGCCTCCAGGCGAAGATGAAACAGTGAAACATAGTGAAACGTGAAGCTGCCCTGACTAACCAGGGAACAGCAGAAACACAGAGCTGCACACAAAGACAGCCTCGCTGGCCAACTGCATCTCGACTCGCTGCGCTTCCATCTGCTGTCGAACCATCTCCTGAGACCAGAACAAACTCCCGAGATGGACATTCGCTGTACTGTAGTAGCCCTTGCTGCGCAATTGACTCACACTGCACAGTCTGGGATGACAGCATTGTCGCTGAGGGCTTTCTGCAGTGCCTTGAATGGTCTTCGCACATGGCGAAGTCCGAATGTATGCTTCGTGCATTCGAGCACCTCCTCAGCCTTTAGCTGCCGCTCGAAGGCATCGCGGTGCTCTTCCTGCCACAGGGATGATATGGGAAGATACTGCAAATACTGCAAGCGTGGGCTCCGGTAGCAGCCAACCCCCGCTCAGTCGGAAGCTCCTGCAGCATCTGACGCTCCTGTGCCACAGCCTCAGTTGGGGCGGCCAGGATTTGAAACACGACTAGGCATGAACTATCACGCACTGGTCGATTCTTACGAGGCGGCTTCTCCGACTTTATGTCCTTTCAGGGGGTTCGACTTTCGAGCTTTTCGAAGCTGCCAGGAAGCTCGGAGTTCAGCTTCTAGGTACTGGACCTGCACCGTGCTGCGCAACGAAATCTGTGTGTTCACAAGGACATGCACATCGGCATGTGCAAGACGGCAAATACTACGAGTTCCACTACGTCGCAGTGCTCTTTTCGTTGCACCTCGGCCCGCAGCTCGTCCACGTCAACTTGGAGCGAAGCGCTCTGGACAACACCATCTCGAAGCACAGAGACCCTGAACGTGAGCTTCTTTCAAAAATGCAGCACATACAGCAGATGCTAGGACTTGTGACGTGTCGCTGGAACAGGCATTGGCCTCACCGCCGTCCGTGTGTCCGTCTGTCTGTCTCTCTCTGGTCTCTCCATCTCTCCGTTCTGTCAGCAGAGTGGAGGAAGGGGGAGCCATCTCTCTGTCTGTCCTTCTTTTCTTTCTGTTGGGCTAATGGGTCACGTAACGCTCTGTCTGTCTCTCGCTCTCTCTCTCTCTCTCTCTCTCTCAGGCATAGGGTCGCATCAAGCCCCCAGCAATGAGGGCCTCCGCTTCGGGCTTTTCAGAGGGGTGTGCAAGTCCAGGCGTGTGCAATCGTAAGGGCTACAGCCATAAAAAGCCGTCTCTGAGTCTGTCTGCCTCTGCCTCCGTCTGTCTCGGCCTGCGCTGCACCTGAGGCTGTGTCTTCGTGCGAGCGTGTCCATGCCCTCCAAAGGGATTGGGGAAGGGCCCAACCCTCTAGTCTAGTGATTTGGCTCCCTGGTCTGTTGGGTGTAGCAATGTCGCATTGATTGAATCTTTGGGGTTTGTGCTGGACGGTACCGCGAAACCACCTGACCCCAGCAACCCCAACCCGCATCGTATGTGCACTCTCCGATTGACGGTCTGTGGTTTCAGCACTGTCTCTCTGCCTTTGTCTGTGTCTCCGTTTGTAGTTATGTGCCACTGTCTCTGTCAGTATTTGTCTCTCGTGTCTTTGTTTGCGTGTCTCTCTCTCGCTCCGCGTGTGCTTGCGTGTCTGCGTCTTCTGCTGAGGCGCCTCTGCGTCCTGCTGCATGCAGGTGTCCATGTCTGTGTGCCTGTGTCTGATTATCCGTCGTGTTCCGTGCTTCCGTGTGTCCAGGTGTCTGTTTGGGTTGTGGTTGGTTGCCTGGAACCTGGGGGTGGTTTGCAGCAGTTCTCTGAGTCTCTGTGCTGACGAGGCACGCGGCTCCAGCTTCATCAGAAAGGCTGCGCGAGATCATGGAGCCTCACACGATCGCAGGAGATGGCGAGTGTCGGAGACCAGTTCTGAAAACGCACGGCTCAGGCACGTTGGGTCTCCATCGCCAAGAGCTCAGCGGCAAGCCGCGATGTCTCCTAGCCGGAGTCGGAGTCTCCTTCCGGGTCCCTTGTTTACTTGGCTTTTCGGTCCTCGGCTGCCTGATTGCTCGCAGCCTCAGCCTCAGCCTTTCGGGGCGGAGTTTCGGGATGTTCGCTCGTTGCAGTGCTTCGCCGTGCCTTTAGTGCAACGCCTCGGCGCTCCCAGGATTCCAGCTCGCAGGCTGCGGTCTGGACAAGGCTCGCTGAAGCTTTTCAGGACAGTTTGGAACAAGTAAGCTACACTGCCAGCTCGATCTCCAGGCCTCCTTGCTTGTTGCCAGCTGTGCCTGCAGGTGTTGTATTTTGTCCTGCGGTTTTTCTCACACACTTCGTGGAGGTCAAGACAAGGCTGAGTTGTGTGCGCAAGCTGCAACAGAAGCACGGCAACCCGGCAACACGTCCTCTGTCTTCGCGGCTTCCGACACGGCCGCTGCCTCTACTTGGGCAAGCCGCGCAGACATGGTGCTACTCAGCGTTGCCAGCGCAGCCTCCCAGGTAGCTGACAGCTCTGGATGCTCGCACAGTGCAAGATCCCGAATTGGAACCAAACTTTTCCATGAGCTCAAAGGCTCCTAAAATCTCCTAAACCCTAAACCCTCCGCAAAACGAAGTTGGTGCCTAGAAACGCAGCTTAAGCTCGTCAAGTCGGCTGGCAAAAAGCGTGTTCCCGCGCCTTGCTGCTGTCCAGCCACTCTCGCACATCAATGGCTGCTGCAGTGTGCTGAGTCCTGGAGTGGTGTTGACACAATTCTCGGACCGACTTGCAATTGACCGTCGGGCTCAAAAGAGAGTGGGCCCTGATTAGTGCCCGTCCTCAGCCTAGCGATGTCCACTTGCGTCGCCGCCAGCTCTTCCTAAGCAGACGCTGACTCGTGACTGGATGCCACCGGTGGATACGCACAACCTTGCGATGTTTCACAGCCGCGTCTTGCAGTCGACGAAGCCCCGCTGACGATAACCCTGCTCATTGCATGCTAGGGTCTCGCATCGACTGCAACCTCGACCGAAGGGTATCCTGACAGGTGAGTTTTGAGACTGTGGCACAGAACACTAGCTCAGCAGAAAGCTCAAGGGCCGTCCTACTCAAAGTGTAACGACGGAGCTGCGTCCTGCTCACTGCGGAAGAAAGCTTGGCTGCGGCTCCGCAGATCCTGGCAACATCGATGCAACATCGGAACACCATCTCGAGGCGCTGTTCGGCCCTTTTTACAGGGTCCTCGAAGCTTGCTTCAAGCTCCATCTCCCGCGTGGCCTGGAGAATCGCTTGCACGGCTTCAAGCACACGTCTGCGTTCGCAGAGAGATTGTCCAATCGCATCTCAAGCTGCTCTTTGCCTGATCTCGCTTGAGCTGCAAGACGATCTGATCTGTAGAGCCCTGGCTTTGCGAACGAGACCTGGGCAGAGAGCCAGTTGTCGGTCATCAGCATCGAACTTCCTACGAAACCCAGACCATGCTTGGCCATGCCTTCCCCGATGTGTCGATCGCATGATGCTCCGAGTCTCCCGCTCTGTCAACAGCACCATCCTTATGCAAAGAAGCCGAGTCTGCCCACAGCAGTTGCCAGCTCAAGACTAACCGCATGCTGTGCCACTCATACCGCCTCAAACTGTACTTGGGCCAGGCGGCTGCTGCTGCTTGGTCAGTACCTCTTGCAGGCGGCCCTCGGCATCTGCTGCTGCTGCGACCTCCGAGGTCAGCTCCTGAAAACGCCAGAAATCGCCACACAGCTCCCGTCTGTCTCCTCTCCCACTCCTCCTTTCGGGCAGTTTGCCTGTCCACCTCCTTGCTGAGGGCGGCGTGCCGCTTCTGCACCTCTCGCAAGTTGCCGACACCGAACGATAGTTACATCGAAGGCCGAACATAAAGGGACACTCAGGAGCGCGCAGAAGCGAGGGAAGCAGCCAAAGCTGCGAAAGTCGCGGCCTCATAAATCATAGCAGCGACAATTATTGAGCAAATCCCACGCCAAGTACTGCAAATGCCGGAAGAGCACCTGCGAATAAATTGGTCCAAGCCACCGTGGCACTGTTGCCGGGTGCACGTGCCACGCGCAGTTGGTCCTTGGCTAACGGAAGACCCAACATTACCCTTGTTCGTTGTTTCAGTATTGCCTCTATGATCTTCTATGGCTGACACCGATTATCATGATGTTGGTTCTGCTCTCAATGCTACGCTTGCTTCTACCCCTGTCGCTTCTAGCGCTGTTGCTGATGCTGCTGCTGCTGCCGCCGCTGCCTGCTAATGCTGCCATTGAGTTGGCCTTCTCCTGCAGTGCCAATCATGTCAGGAAAGGGGCTTGCACTTCGTCGCAGAACTGCCAGACTCGTCGAAGCAGCCATCCTCCAGAACAGACCAGAATATCAATTCAACTTCAAATTCTGGGCTTGGCGTTTGGGATTGAGGGTTTGTGGGTTTCGGGCTCTGGTCACACCGAGAGCAGGAGAGGCTACGTCTGGAAAACTCTTTCGCACAGCGCTGTTTTCGAGTCCTTCGGCCACGTCCTCCTCAGGGAGGTCGCTTCGACAGGCCTCCTCGCGAGGCCCAAGCATCTCAAAGAACAGCACTCCTGCTTCTAGAAGATGTGACTGGTTTGCGTGCTATGCCTTTCTCTGCTTGTTCTCGGCACTGCTCTTCTGGGTTCATACCACCCATCACAGCTTCACTGCATACTCAACAGCTATACTAAATAAAAAGCATGTCGATGCTTGCGCCTACTTCGCTTATGAAGATGCATGCATCATACTCATACCGCCCGTAGAATCCCTGCCAGACGCTGTAGCTCTCACTCACACACACGCACAGATGTTCACTCACAAAGACGCCCAGTCCTTCAGACGAAGAATGGAGATGTTGAGAGACTGAGAAAGCGCTTCCAGAATGCACTTGGCATCCTCCTGCGGCATGGAGCAGAACAAACCACAGTTGCGCCTCCCGTGCGGCAAGTGAGCTCAACAGAAGCATGGATTCTAAGAAATTGACAAGCGCATACCGAAACGCAAGAGTTCCCCATCCTTTGCTCCAGCTTCCCCGGCGATGCGCTGCTGCAGAGACTGGCCGGGAAGTGGAAGACACAGCGGAAAATGTGGGTGTTAGCTGCCCGTGCTGTGACCACTGCCATGGTCCCCGAACGGCATGCGAGCTCCTAGAATAAAACCGGAATCTCGTGCAGGTGCAGCCCGTGCGAGATGCTACTGTAGCCGGAGGGCTTCGGGGGGATACATGCCGCCCCGTGCTGAAGCAACTGTAAGCACAGGAACCTCCAGGCAGGAGGGCTGAAAAGCTGTCGACAACGACCTCGACATGCTTCACATGCAATACAAACGGCGCATATCAACATTGACATTATTGATTTGGTCTGCTTTTCTGCCCAGTCATTACTGTTGGGACTGATGTCATCAACGGGTTCTTGAACTTCACATCTGCTTCGGTGTCCGACAAATCTTATTTGAGACTTCCACTCGGCCGCCACGGGCGATGTTCTGGAGGTCGGAAACTCGCCACGACCGAACCTGCATCCAAGCAAATATGTTATACAAAACATTATATGTTACCGATTCATTCTATATTCTACTGTATGTTATATTGTCTACTATATTAAGCGCAGCCCGGGCAGCCGAGTCTCACCAGGTCGGGGCAGCGGCGGCAGAGGCGCCGGAGCCACGAGTGGCTCCTCGGGACCGGAGCCCAAGACTTGTACTCTAAGTAGCGACAGTACGACTCGATATTCCTTTCGTTTAAACAGCCATAGTACAACATGCCTCACTAGAATTAGTGTTCGTGCTGACGCTAGAGTCCAATCCCGTGGGTAAATACTAAGCTTGATAGTATGATCATGCTGTTTCGTGCCAGAACACTGTAATCCTATAGTAGTGAAAAACAACACGCTAGCCGAGGGCACAGAAATACCAGAATAACGGAAAACTAACGAATTCGCCTCGGCCCCAGCCGAAGCGCTGAGAGGTTCTCTATGGTTAATTCTGTCCCATCCGAAAACCTTTTTCCCTTCCTACTAATACTAATATCTGCAATACTAATCCTTCTATGCATGTTAATGCCAGTACCGGAGAAGTCGCGCCTGGCCCTGCATCGGCGCAGCTGCCCAGTCTCGCGGGAGGCGAGGATTGCATTGAGGGCGGCGACGCCGGCAATGTGTGGCTTCGGGACTGCAGAGTTTGCGGTACAGGGATGTGCAGGGTTTTTGGGAGCCCTTGGGTATCCGCCTAGGTTAGGGCTAAGAACTCCGACTTCGGATGAGCCTGTTGACCAGAGCACTCGGATTGAACCCCAAAGCAACAACGCACTGCACTGAACAGCCGAGGCCTCGACCATCACGGCAACTTGGCACTCAGATGCACTCAGCTAAGATGAACTAGGGTTTCGGGTATACTGTAGGACTTGCTTGAGGTTTCACACGCGACGGACACTTCGAGCCGCGACGGAGAAGCGAATGAAACTAGCCGCTGCACTCCACTCCCACGACGAGAGATGTAGGACACATCTCGGCTAAGCTTCAGGAGCTTGTGCTAGGAGACCTGGAGTTTGAGCCTTCCCAAGTTCATGGGCTGGCAAAGTCTTCCAAGCTTCTTTCAGAAAAGCGCGTCGCAGGGCTTGGCGTCAGAAAATCGCGGTTTGAAAAGGAGGCAGCCCGGGCAAGCACTGAACAAGTCCGAGCCAACCCTGGCGCCATGAAAATTGGGCAGTTGCTAAGCAAGCAGTTGCAATAAGCCCCGGCGTGTGCAATTCGAACGAGTACAGACAACACACAGACAACGATCCCCTGTTTGATGTGCACTCCGTAAGTTGAGACTATTAGCACGTCGCCAGGAGAATCAGATTAAATATATTTGAGGGGCTCGCCCTTCAGGATACCTTCTTCTCAAGCTCTTCCATCTCAGGGAAGCGCTGAACCCCGGCAACACCTGCAAATGACAAAGCTTGCTGCAGCGTGTAGACAGGGTTGTCAATCTAACAGCTATTGAGACCGACGGTTGTTGTTGAAACGTCCCGGTGGTCACCATGGTACACTTTCTTATGTATCTCTTCGTGCGTCATGTTACCCCGTGCGAGATGGTGTATGCTGGAAGCACCTTCGTCCTCAAGTGCAGCGACGATGGCCTTCGATAGAGTGAAGACCGTGACCTGCAGACTCGCGTATTCATGCCTGTCGCTGCCGATGCTGCTACTGTTGGGGAAGCCGACTGCCATATGAGCCAAGCGGCCGTTTTGTCAACGAAAGGAACACCAACTGCGTTGAGCAGGTTGAAAACCGGAATGACAGGCCTCACAATTCGTCTCGGCATTACTATCGCCGACACTGCAAGCATGCTCCAATCTCAGATCATGTGTGAGTGAATCGCGTTGTTCCCATACATGTCGAAAGCAGAGGTCAGGCTGACACAATTCTACTCACCGTCCGAGCGCAAGGCAAAACGTCGAACTTGGTCCAGCTCCAAATCAGGGATGGCCTTGCATGTGCACTGAGCTGCACTGAGGCAGGCAATGCATATATGCCGAACGAGGAAAACGACATGTATGCCTACCAGCCTATCACCACACCTACCGAAATGCTTTCGTGCACAGCACGGAGCGGTGGGTCTCGAAACTGGACGATGGGTGGACCAAGCTGAAGACGGAATGCACGGCTTTGTGAATCAAGGCCATTCGACAGAGAGCCGAAGGGAGAAGGAGATGGTGATCGGGCAAAGAGTTGAGCCGTGCCACGAGAAGGATGCAAAGTCGCTGCGTGCATGAGGTCAACCCAGTGGCGCTTGCTGACGAAGCCTGTATGAAGAGGAACAGGACCTTCAGAGATCTCTTAACTTAAGGGTCGAAAGGTTGAACATTTTGAGCGACCTCGTCAGGGGCGAAAGCGGTCTAAAGACCGGTCTGAAGAGTGCGGGCAAAGTGCGAACCACTTTCTCACGGAGCTTGGCGAGGTAAGGGCGCCAGCCGTATCCAGCCGTGTTCAAGTTGCCAAATGCAGCGTCTTGCTTCAATACAAACCTTGAGGGCAAAGCCTGCTAAGTCTCTGTTCTGACCGAAAGGCATGAACTGGACATCATACACAGACAATCGCAGACAGCCCTGCGGTGCCTGAAGATGGCGGACCTGATGGTATCCGTGCTCGAGGCCAGCTCGCCCTCAACAGCTCGCTTGGCCACCAAGTACTCCTCAGAGCAAGAAAAGGCTATGCCTTTCCGAAGCGTCTCTCCTAGATACTGTACGACGCTTCTTGCCGTGGCTTACATGTCCTCGAGCCTTGGGCCAACTACCCTTATGTGCTTTGGCATTGCGAAGTCCTTGAGCCAGGCAGGCGCCACCTTCTCCACCTGGTCGTTTCTTCTTCGAGTGGAACTGTGGTGGACGAATACCGTGCTCGCATATGCCCTACCTCCGGCCCAAGCGCAACATCCGGCCATCCTGCCTGGAGTCAATGGAAGCAGACTTAAGCAGACCGGCTGCAGGAAACTCCGCTTGTCACGGATAGGCCTCAACTTGGCGACTTACACGATGGAGGATTGCGGCTAGGCTCAAGCTTAGATGGTTATACGTACAGTATTATGCAGCTATAACCGCACGAGAAACAGCTCGTGGTCCCCGATGGCGATCCCATGCACGAAGTGGCGCTTGTCGCTACAACTTTCGTGACGGACCGATGCTTGCGAATTGCATTGATAGCCAGACACTAAACAAGCAGGCGCGTCAAGCCGCTGATTGGTGCCCCTTGGAAACAACAGGCTCATATCCAGACCAACCCGCCATCAAGATGTAAAAAATGCCGACACACAGACCAATCTGTGTTATCATTTCAAGATACGCACTATGTCACAATTGCCTCTGCCGCCGAGACGAACATCATTGGCATCGGAGGTGAGAAGGGCCTTACAAGTCAGGTAAAGTTATTCAGCCCGGGTATCCTGCAATGCGGAGCACCTTAGCAATGCGTGGTGAAGGACTATTTGCAGTCACCTGCACTACCTACTGGAAGAAACTGGAACCCAGAGTTGCACATCCCACATGGACGACCTGGACAACCGACAGCAAAGGTATCATGTATTGTTTTCCTGGTCCTGTGTACATGCGCACCCCTCCTGCCATGACATCGAGAACCAGACATGCGGATGCGACCTTTGATCGCGTTGATGACGTTGAAGGCCTGAGCCACCGATGAACATCCTTCAGTCCCCTTTCCAACAGCTCCCCACCATAGTGCACCTGCGGATTTTCCACCAAAGCCACATGAAATGCTCAGCCCTAAACTGTCTGACGCGTGATTTTGTCGTAGGTGCTTGTGTCGTCCGGGGTGGATCCAGATCCACTGACCTAACCGGAAAAACATGCACACACAGCCTTGTTTTCAAACGCACAGGCTGTGGATCCGGCAACGAGGTTGAGGTTTGTGAGCCCGCTGTTCACATCAAACAGCAATCCGATGGCCTGGTGAACGGCAGCTCGAAAATAAGTCGCAGGATTGGCATATGCGATCAATGCGACATTTGCTCCGTGGAATGAACTCGAGCAGTGGAGATTCAAATGATCAGCTGGCAGCAGCCGCTGGGATCCGCACATGCACAACGGCATCCGCTTCGCCTGAGCGAGAAGTGTAAGAGAACTATGGAAAGCTAGGACCCAGGACATCCCAGCCGCTAGCCTGACGAATGTCGAACGACGAAAATGCCGACCTAGCTTTGGGCACCCCATGGCACCTACAACGTTCTGCACCGTCGAAGAGTCGGCAGCATTTCCCTGCACAGCGGGTCGTGGAACACGGCTCAGTTCACGTGTGACCTGTATTCTCTCGAGATCTGAGAAGCCGTTCCGGGCCTTGACCCACTTTACCTGATCAAGCTCTGCATTGCCAGGCTCAGGGTTTTCACCACGTCGGCTGAGCGATGTGACCTCGCAAGGACACCCGACATTTTCAATGTAGGCGCGGTCTGGGCTGGTGGAAGCCTGGAAGCCTCTCTGCACAGCAAGCCTGCAGACCTGCAGAAAGAGGCTTGGAACTGTGATTATCGAAGCTACGGGCGCACCAGCCACAACTGAACACTTATTTAAAAGAAGGTGACCTCGCGCCCGACATAGCCGTTGCCACCGAGGACCAACAGACGTTTGCCGGCCTGGATGGTCTCAAAGCTGAGCATTCTCAGAACAGCAGGCTTCTTCCGGCTGGCTAAGTGCACTGCTGAAGGCTCCTCACCTTCGGCAGCCCTTGCTGTGACAGGCCTTGTAACAGGTGCCTCGCAGGACTGCCGGCAAATCAACCGGGGCAGATGACGGGTGAAGACATGAGTGCACACTA